GTTGGAAAAAATTGTCATCCGTTCGAGCTGCTCGGGTTATCCGTTCGAAGAAAACTGTAATCCGCTTGAACGGTTCGAGCTATCCCGCGGTTCAAAAGAATTGTCAGCGGCGCTACTGTTCCAAATCACTTTCACCCGAGCCGTTCGCGACGAAAATCATGTAAGCTTAAATAATTCTTCTAAGCGTCCTTTACCATCATCTTATGAATTGTCACGATAAATTTTCTGCTAAATAGCCTTCTATGCTTTCATAACATTCGATCGTAGCAAGTTTTATTCAAGACAAAGTTATAATATTCAACAAATTTCCCGAACAAGTTAAGTTGTGTTTGACCTTTTCGTATGAAAATATCAAACGCTTTTGGAAGCCGTAGGAATACACTCTCGCTGTGATATTTTTGCCTGTTTAAAATACCATCATCTTCCTTCGCCAATTCCGAAAAAAGTAATTAAAAGCCACTGCTACAGCACAGATCGGAAAAATAAAAACGGTTCCTTGCATCTTCACGGTGGCTTTTAGAGCGCGTCATTTACAAAAGCGCCATTTCAACCCAAAAACACTCCCGCGTTGGCAATGGGCCTTTAATGCTAATGTCAACTGGCAGCGTCTGAACTTTTCGGAGTTTTCCATTAACATCCCTACGATTTTCGGAAGTGGATTTTTCACATTTTAGTCCCAAGATTTGGCGATTTTTGGTAAAACAAAAGGTCACCAGAAAATTTAGGTATAAAGAAAATAACGTCCCCTAAAATGTTCTAATGAAAGTGTGGCTTCTCCTTGTCCTCCTAGTTTCGATAAGACGCTTTAGGACAGCAAAAACTTCGGATAAGACCAAACGACCCTCTAAAACTTTCAGGAAGGCCAAAAACATCTGAACGGATAGATTGATTTTAGGGCAGCTGCAAATTAACGAAACAGACTTGTAAAGAAATTCATTTTAGGCGTGGGTGCGCCTGACTAATATGACAACCGCATGATGTTACATGCAAACAAGCAATTAATTTATTTGTTTAAAGTGAACAATTAAAAATCTCTTTGTACTAATTTCAAAATTTTACGAAGCATTAAATAAACTCAGCATACCAGATATCCAATACATCGATACAAACACGAGCGCATCACTGGATTTCGGGTTTCAGTTGTCAATGGGTCATTATTTTAATCCATCAACTGTTTGTATCTCGATTCGAGTCGTGCCTCTCTCCTGTCGATTTGCGACGCCTTGAAACCTACTGAAATGGGCTGAACAAGGGGTCAGTCATCTGAGACTTGCAGTTTCATGCAGCAATTCGCCTGCGAGCAAGCTCTCCCCGGGCTGCCGGGCATACGAGGGTTGGTCAGGGTTAGGGTAAAAGCTCACTAGGAGTCTATAAACCACCGTCTGGAAACAAACTGTGCATATCTGATATACTGAAATTGCTGTGACAATTATTACTTCTTTATTATTCTTGATTTTTCAGGGAACTTAGGGCTTCAAGTGTCCATCGATCCACAAAGAGTTCCTTATTGGAAGGTAAAGTTTATTTGTTTTGGTTTTGTTTTTGATTTTTCTCTCCTTGCTTGTTTCTTTCTCTTTTTATTAATTTTTTTTTTGTTGGCTTTTCCGGCCGGTTTAGTAAACACGAATAAACAATGCAATCTCTTCAGCAAGCAAACATAAGGTTCTTTTTACTAGTACTTAGGTTCCTAAGTACTCATGGGCTTTTTTTTTCAGGCCTCAATAACACTAAAGGAATAATAAGTACTATTTTGGTTTCTCTTATTTGTTGTGCATACTGCTTATACTGGCCATTATTTCAAAATGCTGCAGAGGGTTTTTTTTTTTTTTTTTTTTTTTTTTTTTTTTTTTTTTTTTTTTTTTTTATTTGTTTTTCTGTTTTTTGTTTTTTTTTTGTTTTTTTTATTTATTTTAATTGTTTTTTTTTTTTTTTTTTTTTTTTTTTTTTTTTTTTTTTTTACCCTAGATGTGAATTAAACACGTGGAAAAAACACAGAATCGACATAGTCCTAACTATATGTTGGGTGTTCTTTGTGATAAAAAAAAACAAAAAAAAACAAAAAACAAAAAAAGCAGAATTGAAATATGCTTCTGTGATTCGATTTCACTTAATTTTTTTCAAACAAGCATTCGAGCAAACCGCACAATCATTTTCTTCTGCTACCCGCAAATCCAGTAGGTTCCCAATGACCTTTTGATTCCACTGGGCTTTTCTTGTGAGAATGCCGGGACGTTGGCCGAGCCTTGCGTATTACAAACCCGTATTTGTTAGCACATTTATTTTATTTCTTTTCTTACAGGGTGGAACTGTTTGTTGTTTTGATTTTGAGGAAACGCTACCTTCCCATGTACAATCGGGATCTGCTTTTTTTGGCAACCTAGCGACTGTGAAAGTGGAAAGACTGGGTAACTCTCTGGTTGGAAGGAGAATTCCTGGTATGTCAGAAAAGATCATACTGCAGAGTAAACAGGGTTGAATACATATTAGCTAGTCCAAAACCATGTATCTTCAATCATTGACAAAATTTTCTACACAGAAACTTAAAAAAGACAAGACAATAGAGAGATGGACTTACTGTTGCACGAACTGGATGTATTGTTCACTTTTGTCGTCAAAGTTTCACTAACTATGGTGACAAAACTCCCAGAGTAAAGAAAACGTAAATGAATATTAAGGGTAGACTTTAACTGTTTCCAAACTAATAAGCATGTTCTATGGGAGTATTTTCTATTTATGTGTAAGGGTTATTTGCCTGGAACGGGTGGGTTTGTGATGTATTTACCTGGTACCGCCCTTGTGCGCATAACATCCTTAGTTTTCATTTGTGATGTTTCCTAAAACAAAAAGCTTTTGAAAAAGCTTTAAATTAATTCTTTATATATGCTTATTCCCAAGAGCCTCGAATTTTTTGAGGTTGAATTCTAAAATATGGAAATTGGTCAATTCATGTGGAATTCGTTAAGACAGAGTAGTTTTGGTAACTCTTTTGGACTTTCCGCCGTTGTTTTTTGTGTCAGCCGTCCGACAAGTCGCATGGCATACCTGGATGTTCACAGGTAGACGTTATGTCAAATTCGTTTAAAAGTGACGCGGCCGGTGACGCGAATTTATAGTTTAAAGGACATTGCGTTTTGAAAAAGAAGTAAAGCTGACCTCTTAAACACTTCTTCAACCGTCGTCTCTGACCTTCAAAACATGAAAAGCTAAGTAGTTAGATGGCCTTTCCTAATTTTCAGAAGTCTTTTATCCCCTTCTCCCCTAATTTTCAGAGTGATTGTTAAAAGTTTTGCGAGAACCGACTCCAAACGTAACATGATACCTATGCACCACACCAAGGTTTTTTTTACCTTCTTTTAAAAAGCAATTAAATTTCTAATAGAAATGGGTAATTGCAGCTGAGAAATGAACCAATTGAAGAAAAGCGAATCATAGTTAATAGTAACATATTATTCAAATGGTATTTTCAGCTTGCGACGAGTCAATTAAATAAGGGAACAGTGATGTGTCCGGAGAATGGGGTATCCGGGAGATTGATAGTACTAGTTAATGTAGCCTTCTTTGTTTATTTGTTCGTTTAGCGTAACATTAAACGCTTCCTTAAGCTACAGAGATATAGAGGATATTACACGGTGGCGCGAAGATACGAATTTTATTTTCGAGTGGCAAAACAATGTTCTACGAACGAGCGTAGCGAGTGAGTAAAATATTGTTTTTGCCACGAGAAAATAAAATTCATATCTTCAAGCCGCCGTGTAATGTTCTTTTTATTATATAGACAAAAAGACTTTGATAAAATAATCGAGGGGAATTACCGAAATTTCGTCATCGATAATCTCACGTGTGAGATTATGGAAAATAAACCACTCGGGTCCCGGATGTAGTTTTTATGAATTTTCAAGTGGTATATTTTCCAGTAAAACACTTGTGTCTATATAATAATACTCATTAATTTCCTGCGTGAGTACAGAGTGTACAGAAAACAAGGAATTCCAGATAGCTGGTCTACAATAAAGGATACTGAACTGATTAATATTCGTTCTACAAAAACGAGGTCTAAATTGAGAAGCTAGTCGAGTTTCATAATGGTGGACCCGATTCCTACTTACAAAGAGGTCACGAAAGCTAATAGGCAGAAGATTATGGTGATTCCAGTACATAAAAGTCGCAACAGAAAAGGAGTTAATGCTAGATATGTCAAGGACTTTAAGTTGGCTAAATAAAGGCGCGTAGTCCGGCGGCTTAGCTATAAAATTATGCGATTTTTGATACAAGCACCAAACTTTGTAGGAATATTTACATTCCCAGGTTGGTCATTTCCTGATATAGTGCCAAGCTTAATTTTCTAATTCCAGCTAGTTAGCTGCGAATGAAATTTTCGGACACGAGACGCCCCGCGAAATACATTTCTTGCTCTTTTTTTTTTTTTTTTCAAAATATACGAATGCTTTAATTTGAAGTTAAATTGTTATTTTATTCTTTTCTTTTTTATGCTAATAATTTTCTCGGAAAACTATTATTCAAATGCAGGCCGGAATTTGCAATTTTTCTGCACGTGCTTTTTCTCCGCTTTCTCTTGGGTTTCACTCTGAATTTTGTACATGCGACTCGATCGGTGCAGCTAGAGAATAATATTATTCCGATCATATAAAGAGAAACAGGCCGGTTTGAACGAAATGGGTTGACGTGAAGACGTGGGAATCATGCCACAACATCAACCTATTGACTAGTTGAAATGTATTATTTGCCAGGAAGAAACATCTGAAAAGCCCACTTGTCCGGCTAATTCGAAACGACACGACTCTGGTGCTGGATACGTAACTTTTGAGCGAGATGTAACGTCATTTTATGAGGTGGGAGAGTTACATTTAGCAGTTAACTGGGAATGTCTAAACGAGGGAAATGGAATTGCTTCCACTTTAACGAGTCATTTTGCCTTGTGGCATGAATCGTGTCGCGATGCGTTCAATAGCACGAAACTGGAGCGCATAATAAAAAGGAAAATGCCTGAAAAGACCCACGGCCAAAGCAGCAGCAAACGGACCTTCTCAAGTATATTTCCAGAGAGCGTGAAACATTCGGTTTGCTTCTTTTGCGAGGAATCAGCTAACGTGGGTGATCTAAGAATGGCGTGCACAATGGATATCGACTCCCGCGTCCGATCTGTTGTTCGCAAATTAAGTGATTTCCGTCTCATATTTAAGCTGAATACCACTGACATGGTAGCTATTGGAGCAAAATATCTCACGAGGTGCCTTAAGCCGCGCTGTACAATCCATTACCAGAAATCGGCGACATTTTGCGTCCGCGAAGTATTAGGCACGCGGTTTCAAATTATCAAGATGGCGGCATAAACAAAGCAGTACGTAGAAAAAACAAGGCCTAAAGTGACACACTATCAAAGGATCTGAATCAATTTCATTTCGTTTTTGAGGTAGTCAATACAAGGAAGAATGAAAAAGGGGAAATTAGAGTCCGGGCGCCTGTTCGAATGATGATTTTAGAGAGAATAAACAACTTCGTTGCATGCGTGACTTGCCAGAGTAAAAATAATTTTCAAAAATCAAGGCCCACAGTACACTTAGCCAGCGATATTCTGTTGTAAAAAGCCAGACTCTCAGCCAAAGATGGTGATCAAAACAAACTGGAGACAGAAACCTTACTTTTCAGAAGGAATAATAAGCGAAGTGGTGCTTTTTGTACCGCTTTTATCGCAGAAATGGATGTATTTTTCCCTCTTTTATCGCAAATTTTGCGGCCATTTGGGAAATGGATCAAGGCTGATTTTTATCACGTTTTAAAGTTTGAACATCGATCGATGATTAGAGAGGTCGGCACCTCGGATTCACATCAACGAAATGTTCTAAAATGTGGAGAGAAGGTAGGCACCTCTAAGCTTTTTTGAAAGAATTAGAGAGCTCAAGGAACCGTAACGGCCGTTCGTAAAATGTGTTGTTTGCGGCCCGTTGGCGAAATTTCGAGAGACCAAAACTACCGTAAATAATGATATGGTACGTACACTTTAAATTTAGAGGTCGGCAAATATCGTGTGTGCTACTTTAGATCTGAAATTTGCACTTCTTCAATTTTCTCCATACATTTCTCTATAACGATCGGCGGCCATTCTTAGAGAGCGGAAGGTCTGGGCCGAGTCTGGGCGTCCGCCGTTTTGTCTTAAATTTCTGGTAATGCGCGCCCGAGAACATGACAAAGAAAGTTCATCAGAATTAAACAGCCAATCAGAGGCCCACAGTATGGTGCTGGCTGATCTCATAGCTGAGATACAAAATTCTAGACATGGACAGCCACATATTACCGTTTTCAAGCTGTCGGATTTGAGAAAAGAGTATTGCAAGAGGCTAATTAGAGAAGGTCTAGCGGAGGAGACTCAAGAGATACATTCCACGCGTCTAAAGGAGAAGCTTATAGAAGCTATCCCTGGATTTAAAACTGCTCATAGTAAAGGAAGAGAGCTAGGTGTTGTTAGCTTTTACAGAAGATATATAGGAACGATTGTATCCGACGCTTTCTCTAACGACAATGATGCCAATGAGATGTGTTTACAACGTGCAGCTAGCATATTACGAGAAGAAATGTTCACTGAATCATACGTAGTCAATGGATCGTTTTCTCAGAACTGCCAAAGGGGATCAATACCCCAGACTTTGCTATCGTTGGTAAACATGATCCTTGAAGGGCCAAAAGCTAAATACCAGTCAACTATAAAGCCAGGTCAGGCTGCATTATCATTACCTCCACTTCTTAAATTCAATGGCGTGAAGCACACCCGTAATTATAAATTAAGACAGAAGAATGTACTCGGTATGTCAAAAGTCAAGAGACTCCATTACCAGTGTACATTGGTGTGGTGCTCCATTTAAAAACGCTTAAGAGGGATCTTATAGACAGGTTACATTCACTTGGCTTGTCAATTTCGTACGATGAAATGCTACGCTTGTCATCAGATGTGGCAAATGCAGTTTGTGAACACTTCAAGGAGACGGATACGGTATGCCCTCCCAACCTGAAAACAAACGTATTCACTACAGCCGCAGTTGATAATATCGACCACAACACGTCGTCGACAACGGCAGTAAGTTAATTTCATGGCACCAGCATTTCACTAATACAGCACCCTACTGTGGAAGGGGAAGGTGTGGAAAACGCAAGCTTTAAGCAAAGAAATGTGTCTGCATCAAAGACTATAGGTCCACTGTCATCTAGCTACACTAACATACCCCCTTTGTCAAGTCAAAAACAAGGTGGTTTAAGAGTGCCAAGTATGCAGTGTAATGTAAATGGTGATGATGAAGCACTATCTCTGGCCACAATGAAGGAGATTGAATGGCTTAACCATATGAGGCAGCATGTAGAAGAACACCAACAGATAGACAAAGAGGATAATTATGCAACCCACTGTTGCCAAGCAAGCTGGAAATGGAAAAGCCCCTAGCAAAAACAGAACAGCAATGGTATCATGGTCTGCTTTCCACGGAGAACGACAGAAACACTTCAACGCACGATGCCAGAGTTCGTTGCTTCCTCTTTTTGCAGAAGCTGCTCATTTTATAGCCATGATCATGCATGCCATAACTGTTGTTATGAAAGCTGTTTAACACCTCAACCCAGGGCAAGCTGCAGTTATAGCATTTGATCAACCCCTATATGCTTTAGCTAAGCAAATACAATGGAGATATCCAGACACGATGGGTGAAGTTAAGCTGGTAGTTATGCTTGGTGCACTTCACATAGAGTTAGCGGTTCTGAAAGCAATAGGATCGTGGCTGTTGGGAAGTGGCTGGACAGAGGCTGTTGCTCAAGCCGGGATAACCACGACTGGGAGGGCTGAGTCACTAGTAACGTCTGTACATATCACGCGTACAAGATACGTCCATCAAATTACGGCATCCTCGCTTTATATACTTCAGCAGAGGGCCTACAAGAATTACTACGCAGAATGCGCAGAGAACGCTCCTCCATTCCCCGAATGGCGCAAAGACCAATCCGGTAAGATCCCGCTTTTAAGATGCATGGTGGCTGGACCGGAGCTAGCGAGAGTGGTAAAAGAGTTTGAGACTACAGTAGAGGAGGACACCACCACCCAGACTTGCACACCAGATCATGAGCAATCCAGGGCTTGTCAAGCGCGCTTCATAAGTCATGTTCAATCCCTGGTTCTTACTATAGAAGAGCTTGGCAACCCACTTGAGGAGGAAAGCACGTGCACAGACCTGATCTCACTTGTACCTCGAAACTGGCAAGAATTCTTACGTTTAGATAACAAGAAGGTCGTGAAAATGGTGATCGAGGGCAAGCAAATCAAAGTTTCAAAAGGAGAAGAGGTACTCTGCTCTCCACCTGCGACAAGAAGGAATATATTGTCACCCTGTTCGCATGAAGAAGCAGACACAAGAATAATGGTTCACATTGCTGATGTAGTACAAGATGGTCACCAGTCAGTCGTGATCCGATCAACGAGGCACTGACATGGCAGTGTTAGCTGTTGCCCCTGTTGCAACTTTAGACCTAAAGTAATTTTGGGTCTCCTATGGAACCGGAAATAACCACAGGACCCTACCGGCGCATCTCTTTGCAAAGGCTCTTGGTCCAACTAACTCAAACTGTCTCCCCATCTTCCATGCCCTGACAGGATGCGACACAACATCCTTCTTTGCTGGGTATGGAAAAAGAAGAGCCTGGGCTGTTTGGGAGAACTTTCCAGATGTTACTAGTACATTTCTCGAGCTTGCAGGGACCCCGTCTAATATTTCTGAGGAGAATCTGAGCACCATAGAACGATTTATCATTCTTATTTACGACAGGACTAGCCACCTCAGCAAGGTGGGTGTTAATCTTCTCGGTTTCTTCTTGAGGACTTGTAATAGTGTAATGTTTGCATTTATTTATACTTACTATTTGGTATTTGTTTCGGGTCAATGATGCCCGAAAGTACTTATTCACAAAGAAAGGGAGAGGGTTAGAAGGACTCCCACCCACCCGGAACGCTCTGTCTGTAACAAACCACGTGAAGCGCGCCGTGTATCAAGGACGATACGTGAGGGGACAAGCAACCGCCCTTAAGCCTGTTCCTCCTGAACCCAGCTGGACCTTATATTAGGAACAGAAAAGCAGCTGCAGCCACAGTGGGTTACACTACCAGCAGCGGCTGTCAGCTGCAAAGAGCTGGTCCATTGTGGTTGTAAGAAGAGTTGTAGCAAAAGATGCAAATGTGTAAAGGCAGACCTTCCATGTACCCCGCTTTATATATATGTGATGGAAAATGCATTCGTGACCATTAGTAATTTGTATTAATTTTAATATTCAAAGTAACTAAAAGGGCTAAGTCATGAAGATATTGTTGTTTTGTGCCAGTTCTGTGCTGAAGCTTAGTGCCTTCACCCATTCAAAACAATGCTCCAAGGAGCACAAACCATTGTATTTTTTTGGTGATTTTAGCAGCACAGCATTAAAACTTCAAAATGTTGGCCCTACATTTCCATGTTTTACTTCATATTCTTCATATCCGCGGACAGGAAAATAAGGTCGTTAATAACAAATTGGCTGTTATTGTTACAATTCATTTGCAACAAACACACATTTTAGGTTCTTAAAAAGAAAGTAAATAGTGTGACATAACACGCGCGCGCTTTAAATTCAACGGCGATTTCAAAATATGTAACACTGAAGATGACGGATGTACCGTCGAAACATGTCTGGAAAATTAAAGAAAGTTGTTATGTTTATACGACTATCTATATTGTTGCTGCTATCTAGACCTTGTGACATAACCCCTTTTATATTCCGTTGCCATGGCAACATATCGTTAAGTGGCATGCGATAGAGAAGACGTAAGTAGAAAACAGATTAATATCAATTACTAAAATGATAGTATTTCAGGATAAACTAGGACAAGCTAAAATTTTCATGAATTTTAATTATTTGCGGTTACTATGAAAACCGACGTATTTTCGGCTTGACACTATATCTGAAAATGTTTGTGTTGGTGACTTCTATCAGTGTGCCACAATTCATGCTTGTATCGAAAAGTGCATAATTCACTTTAAATTTTGGAGCTAAACCGCCGGACTAGCGGCATTTTCTAGATAGTGAGCTTTTGTAATGAACCGCACTCTATGCGCTTTTGCAATATATAATTATAAATACAGTTTTGGTTAGCGCTGTGGGCGGAAGACCACACAACATTACAGTATGTTAGGTACGGATATACTAGCGAGTATGATAGGTAAAAGCGGGCTTTCGCAATGATTTCCACAGATTTCGAGATTGTTTTAGAAACCAAGCTAATATGAGGTTTTCTGGAAATGTGCCGATCAATAATAACACTGAAAGAATTTAGTTTCCACGACTTGCTTGGTCGCAGTATTTTCCACGACAAGAGGAACATAAACTTTCTTATGCCTGCGTTTTAGTCAAATTTAGAGAAAACTTCAGTCTTCGCCTTAAACTTAAGACACTATATTTTAAAATCGGTAGCAATAGAAATAAGGTGGTCGTTATCCCTATGGATAGCCAGTGTGGTAAAGATTGAGTCGGGCTAGAGACATTGTGATGATCATTAATGTAAAACTGAACAGAAGATGTGCAAGAAAAAAACCCTGCGGGACGTCACAGAAATTTTCTACAGTAAGAACGATGGGACCCAAACTGGATAAATTGAGTCCGATCCTTATGATACCGTTTGATCGACGACAAAACAGTGCCCCAGATACCATAGTGTTGCAATTTTCGGCACAGTTTTTAAGATTAATGAAATTTAGTGTCACTTAAAATAAAAGCAAAGCCAAAATTCTACTCTTAGCGTCACAGGTCTATCTGTATTAGCTCAAACGGGGCTAGTAAGCGAAACTATATTTTTAGGTCGGGCAATCCCAAGATAAGGTCTGCGCGGGTTGGGGTCTGTATCGGTGCTTCAAACGTGAATAAATACTATTTTAGTATACATATACACAACTGTATTTTAGAAGAGATTTGATTTTTCAAAAGGGACTGGGGTTCAAATTTTGCCCTGGGCTCAGTTCCAGTCAAGCAACTAGCACCAGTGTATTGAAATAAATTTTCATTTCTTTTCTTTTTTTTTTTTTTTCTTTTGCTCTTCATGAAGCGACCTAGCTGCCAGCTGCTACAATCCCGGACAAAACTACTTGAGAAAGTTTTCCCCATCATGTCCACTTTTCTACGCAACAAAACTATTTCCAAAACGATGCCTTTGCAGAAAGAAAACCCCTTCCCCCAAATCCATGTTACTTCCTACAAACGCCCAGGGATCAGGCTTTCTTTTGAACACACAACAACACTGCTTTCAGGGCAAAGGGGGGAGGGAAGAACCGGTACAGCTACGATGTTTAGAAAAATGCTTCCCAAGTATGCAATTTTCTCAACAGTTTTGTCCAAGATTGTAGGTAGCTTTTTTAAAGAACAAACCACATAGATCGTTTCTCCTGATTCTGTAGGACCCAGTAATATATGGTGAGGTTTCTTGCAAGGTCGCTATCACTATTTTAAGTTTCATCTAAAATCATATCCGCGTTGTCCGTAATTGTAAGCTTTATAATCGAATCAAGGGTCCTCCGGAAGAGTTTTAAATGGATTTCCCTAGCATACAAAAAGGAGCTAGATAGATACTTTATTATAAACACCATTGCAGCCATAGGCTGAATTACGGGATATTTACAAATACTGATGGTAACAAAGAGAAAATAAGAAAAATTATCTACATCTTATAGACATGGCTAAAAATAAAACTTTTCTCCAAACGCTCGGTTTTACATAGGGGGAGAGTGAAATCACTTTTGCGTCTCAGGGCATAGTTACAACTCTTCCTTTGGGGGAGGAGGCTATGGAGACTGTGGGTGGGGTTACAGACGATCTCGTCAAACACATCGATTGAAATCTTTTCTCTCCTCTCATGAAGTTTCGGTAGGCCAACTGTTTCTAGTGCTACACTATATGACAGGTCAGGATAGATGATTCTGAAAGCCCTTCTTTGGATCCGTTCCAAATCTTCACTGATGTAGTTTGGTAGAGAACGATGGAATACAGGGCTTGCGTATTCCAGGACGGGCCTAATACATGTCACATAGAATTGCACCAGTTCACTTGATGCCACTCCGGATCTCTTGAGTTGACGTAAAAAATAGAGACGAGAGGAACATTTTCTAATTAGTTCAGAGGAGTGCATGTTCCACTTTAAATCGTGGCTAATGGTCACGCCTAGCAATTTGGCACTGGTGACTAATTCAAGGGGTTTGCCATTTAGGACTAGGGGTTCAAAATCGTGGTTGCTGTTGGAGAATCCAATTCGAAGTTCTTTGCACTTGGCCTCATTCAGTTGGAACCCATCGAGACTCGCTTGTCTCGAAAGGTCATCCAGAGCTTCTTGGAGTTTGCTCTCACTACCCTTTGTAACTATTTCGGAACAAGATGTATCATCCACGTATTTCCACATGTCAACTGGTGTGTCCAAGTCATTAATCATGACAAGAAATAACCAGGGGCCTAGTTTTGTTCCCTGGGGGACACCGGAAGGCACAGAGCGCCATTCAGAGTGACAATCCTGAGCAAGTTTAACTCTTTGTTTCCGGTCCATCAAGAAGTC